GTAGTGCAAGGAAAAATGTGTGCAAAGAAAAAAAAAAAAAAAACAGAATTTTGCAACCATTAGTTCACAGTTCACTCCCCAAATGCCAGCAGCTCCATCAGAGTATCCTATGTGGATGGCAAGATCACAGTTATTAAATCATCATCCACTGCCTCCCAGCATGCACTAGCAGGAAGCTGTATCAGAAGCAGATCAGCCAGGACTTAAACTGGTAGGTACTCAAATGTGGGATACAAGAGTCCCAAGCATCAACTTAACCTGAGGCACAACAATTCCTGTCCCAGAATTTTTGAAAAACAAATTCTTATTCCTAAATAATTCTTTGGTGAATTTAAAGCAAAACTGGAATTTTTAAAAAATATTTTATTTATGTACTTGACAGAGTTACAGAGAAGGAGAGAGAGAAATGTCTTCTATCCACTGATTCACTCACAAAATGGCAGCACTGGCCAGAGCTGGGTCAATTCAAAGCCAGAAGCCAGTAACTTCTGAGTTTCTCATGTGGGTGTAGGGGGCCAAGCACTTGGGCCATATTCTCCTGCTTTCTGAGGCCCTAAGCAGAGTGCTGGATTGAAAGATGAGCAACCAGGATAAAAATTGACACCCATATGGGATGCCAGCATCGCAGGTGGAGGCTTAGCCTACTATGACACAGGGCCAGCCCACAAAACTGGAAATTCAATAAAATAGTAATAGTAATACATGTAATAGAAAAAACAATAATACTTTATCTTAGGATTTGATCAGAAAAAAACTCATAGCTCTAAAAATGATAAAAATAAAAATGAAAGGACAAAATTTAATGAGTGGAATTCTCAAATCAAAAACAGACAATATAAAGAAGAAAAATAGGAATAAGTTTGATGCAAGATTAAGTTTATATATAAAAAGAAAAATATATACAACTAATAAATAAAAAATTATGCTAGTTCTTTGGGAGCAAAGTGCCAATAAAATCATTAAATCCTGAAAGGAAAAGCAGTGAAAAAACAAAATTTTACAGATTAAATGGCCAGTAGAAAACATGAGACATTTTAATAAATCAGAGTGTTCTGCAGGATTATATGTTTATTAATTGGAAAAATACAGATAAAACAAGGCACTCCAAATACAATATAAATTGTTCTACAGCACAAATTTTCTTTTCCATAAAGCCCTTTTCAAAAATGAATACCAATTCATGGTCTTAATGAGTTAAAAATATAAGATGTGGTAGATAACTTTTAACATGATAAAACATGCATGCCTCAGTCCAAAAGCCAGTATCTTAACGAATATCAACATCATATCTATTAAGGTCAAGGACAAAGAAAGATGCCTGCTATTTCTGCTATCTTATAATATTGTGACAGAGGTATTAGTCAATTTAAATTCAGCAAGGAGAACAGCCAATTATAAGAAGCTGGAAAAGTATACAGTGAGACAAGCAGGTAGATATTTAGCAATCAGAAATCGACAGCTATATTATATGCAAACAACATCAACTAGAGGCTATAATGCATGATGTCCTTGTTATGATTATAATGTATAAAATATTTGATAGTAACCATGAAGTTGAATATATATAAAAATGTATGAAACTTTATGCCTTTAAAACATTTCTGGAAGACATTCAAGTGGGATTGAACAAATGAGAAGGTATCCTTGTTCCTGATTATTGGTTTATTTATCTGAAAGGTGGCAGTGTGGGGGGGTCTTTCATCCACTGGTTCTCTCCCCAAATGGCTTCAACAGCCATGTCTGAACCAGGTCAAACCAGGAGCCTGGAACTCCAACTGATGTAGATGAGTGGCAGTGATGCAAGTATCTGGACCATCATCTAATGCTTTCCCAGGCACATTAACAGGGAGCTGGATCAGAAGTGGACTCAAACCAGCACTCTGATAGGGGATGCTGGCATCACAAGGGTTGGCTTAAATACCTGTGACGCAACAATACTTCTTGATCCTGGTTAAAATACTATTCACTATAATCTTTATATTATCTTACTGGAAAGTTCCAAATTTTCAATTTTCTTGAACTGGATACTTTAATGTTAGGTTCACTTTGAAAAATCAAATAATACTAATACTGAGAGAGATTCTGAGACAACGAATGAGAAATAACAGATCTTAGTAGAAATGATATCTAATAAAGATGTTAAAAATCTATAAAATGTGTGGTATTTGGAGACTAATGTAACAGCATAGAAAATACAGAATAGATACAAAAATAGACATCTTTTCATTTGACTATTACCAGTAGCCCTTTACTGTTTTCCTGGTGAAGTATGGTCTTTCATTTTTACTTGTGGGATTCTTTATTTAGAAGCATTAATCCTTCGACCATAATGTAAAGTTAAAATGTTTATCTAAAAAATTAAGAAAGGGGGTGGAGAAAGAGGGAGGAAGAAAAAGTATTGCTATTTTCTTAGTATTGTTAGGGTCTAAAAAAAGCCCACCGCCCGAGGAACGACTCCAAGAGATTTTTTCTCTCATGCAACCAGCAAAGGGTTAAATTTATTGATCCAACATGTTGGGGCCCTCTGACAAGGACAGAGGAGCCGTGAGGAACTACAGCATAGGGTTTATAAAGGCAAAAACCGCAAAATCGGGAGGAGGGAGAGAATACACGGTTGCTCAGCGGTTGCTAAAATCTTACAATCAGCAATTATGATCTTAAGACATAGACAAATCACATCTTCATTATTAGCCGAGGTAACCCAGGTGCAACCTTTCTACTTTTAAGCTTGAGCAATCATGCTAGGGGGTTTTTGTGCGTTGCCAAGGGTGATGTAGTGCACTGCTATTGTCCGACTATTTGAGAACATAGTTTTAGACCAGAGTCTCACGGTGGGGGGTGGGGGGTAGCTTTCCCAGAATGCAGTCTCAAGGGCTCCAAAATGGAGTCCCTACTGTCAAGGTGCTACTTTACTCTGTCTTATTTTCACAGCTGCACCAGGAAGGCCCAAACCTGTAAGCTTAAGTTTAACTTTTTACACCCGCACATATACAATTTTAACTCTTCAGTATTATACCTATTAACTAGATTGAACGTGTTCTCTTTGTATTGATATCACATTAACATGAGAATTGATGAGAATGTGTTGTAACATTATCATGAATTTGCTATGACTCTAGAAATCTAGTGCATGAAAAATTCCTGAAAAATTAAATATACTCAAGTACATATGAAAATTTAACATATAAAAAAGTTAGCATCTTATATGACTGTGAAAAATAAACTTTTTATAAAACAGTTTGAGAAAACTGAATATCCTTTAGGGAAAAATAATATTTGCTCCAAACTCTAAAATGATCAGAGTTCTCACTAAAAAATAAAATCATATACTTACTATGAGAATATTACTCAAGTATTTATAGTCTTTTATAAGTAGTCTTTAAGTTTGCGTCCAATCTCAGAAGAAACATAAAATTATATTGATAAATTATATTAAATAAAGATAAAAAAACTTTTTTGTGAAAAATAATGCCATAAACAGTGTCAATATAAAGTTATAAAGTGGGATTTAAAACCACCTAAATTTCATATAAATGGATATGAATACATAAAACTCATTTATATATATGCTTATAAAATATATTACAACTTATAAAATATTTTATGTTTCTATAATATATATTAAATTTTTCTTCTAATACAAAAGCAAAATGAAGTTATACCAGCAAACCTATCACAAGTTAGGTTCTACAGAAAGCAAACAAACTGTGAAGTAATGATTTACCTGCAGGTCAGTTTTTGCAAAAAAATGTTGGAAAGGAGGGGAAAGAAGCAAGAGTGTGCGAGAAGAATTTGCACTGTGGTGCTATGTGATTGAAGTCATTTCCCCCTCCGAGAGTTCTGGCCCAGGAAGTTCCTTCAGATGGTCAGGAGAGCTGTTCTTCTGTATTGATCAGAATGTCTTTAGTTGGGGGCTGCCCTTAAAAAGAGGGGTGATCTTGGATGAAGACAGCTTTCTCCTTCTAGGTATTTCAGTCAGCTGGTTTGACAAATACCATACATACAAATACCATAGAGCAGCAGGCATCTACTTCTCACAATTCTGAGGAGGGAAATGCAAGATCAAAATGCAATTTGTTTCCTGGTGACAATTCTCGTTTTCAGATGATGGGCCTCTTGCAGTATCCTCACATGAGAGAGAGAGAGAGGGATAGGGAGAGAAGGACAGAGGGAGATAGAGGAAAGGGAGAGAGAGAGAGAGAAAGAGAGAGAAGGAGAGGGAGAGAGAGAAGGAGAGAGAAGGGGAGAGGGAGAGGGAGAGACAAGGTCTCATCTCTTCTTAGAAGAGGACTAATCCTATTATGCGGGCTCTACCTTCAAGACTTAATTGCTTTCAAAAGGTGTCTGCTCCAAAACCGCCAAATTCAGGATCAGGGTTTCAAAGTACGAATTTTTAGGAGTGCAAGGAAGAACACAAACATTCAGTGCAAGGCACCAAACAATCCCCAAAGACCGGCAGCTGATTATCCTTTTCCAGGAACACTTTTAGCCACAAGCAGAGTAGGTTCTTCCTTCCAGTAGGAAGTGCTGATTGGCACACTGTAGTGTCCATCAACGCAACAACAGTATTTGTCATGTACCAGGTTGGCAAAAATTTAAACATTGAACAACACGTTCTGTAACATATCTGTTGGAAAACAGGCACTCTTACGCATCTTATGCATGCTGGTCTATGTGCAAAATGATACTCCCCTTATGGAAGGACATACCCTGAAGATATATCCCTGCATGTTACCCAGACCAGCAAATGTGCACATGATTAAATCAATGCAGCGTTGGGAATCAGTTAATTGATTGTTTCCAGTGGCACAGAATAAAGGCACCATCCTGCCTAGGTCTCTGTTTATAAGAATGTGTGTGTGCATCCTTTATATTTAAATAGAAAATGGAATGTCAGCTGAGAATTAAAGTACTACAAGTAACCCAGTTGGTAGTTTTGTGTTTATCAGGAAGATGCTGTTTAAATAAAAAGAAAATCAATATTTTCTATTTCTTTGCAGAGCAAAAGTGAACAAATTACTGTGCGGCATCTGACATCAGGAAACTGGGAAGTGATAAAGATCTTGGCATATGATGAAAATACGCAGAAAATGTGAGTGTTTTGTTTCTCTAGTCAAGCTGGAAGCCAGACAGGGCTGTCAAATATGATCTTTTCCACAAGATTATGTTTTTGCTTCCCATAGCCCTAGTTACAGCAAGCCAGTTACATAAATAACCTTTCCTTTGAAGACATTGTCTTTACTTCACACAGAGACAAGTTTCAGAGACACATACACAGTGTACATGCGTACTCAACACTCAGAAATTGGGAAAGGTTGTGAGAAAGGTGATGCTCTGATAAAAGAAAAAAAACCATACTCAGTGGATAATCACGAAGCATCTCTTTCCTGTTTCTTGACAGTTTTGAAAATTCAAGTGGAAACTCAGGGTGACAAAATACATCGCTATCTAATGCTTTTGTTTTTGTTGTTGTTGTTGTTGTTTTTCCCCTCCCCCGGACAGTTACTTCTTGAGCACAGAATCTTCTCCTAGAGGGAGGCAGTTGTACAGGTAAGCAGGGGGCAGGATCTGCTGCTACAGATCAAGTTCCCCGTGGTCATCTATAGCTCAAGGGGGGGATGTGAAGATCTGTAGTGCCAATTTCAGCCAAGCCAAGAGACTGCCAACTGTGTATGACAAAACCTTACACTCTTTTCTGTCTTTTGACTGTGGCCCACTGTGAGGCTGGAGTTCTGTTTCCTGGATGGAGATCACCCTCCTCCTGTTGTTTTATTCCTGATTTTTTTTTTCTACACCCGAGTATAGAGTTTCAAAATATCTTTTGAAAATGGCTTTTTCTCTCAACTCCCACATCAAAGGCATTTACATGTTTTCCCCAGTGCCTTTCTTCTGTTATGTCTCATTTTGAATTTTCAGTGCTTGAATGTATCATGTGCATTAGTTATTCCTGAACAGCATAATAGTGTCGAGGAAGCTTAGTAGAGTGGATCAGAGGAAACTTTCCATTTCTTTACCATGGTTTGTAAAACCCAATGAGATTGTTAATGGAGGATATATCCTTATTTATGTCAGGAGAGCTCACTGCTTACTAAAATAAAGCATGTGTGAGTGAATATGTATATCTGCCCATTTTCCCAAATGTAAAGCTATAGTCATGCAAGAGCCTTAAAATTATACCTATTTAGTATGAAAAAAATTTCATGTAGAAAGCTTTATCAGGATCTCACAAGAATAACTTTTATTTCTGGCTGGCAAGCAACCTATTAATTCTAGACTTTATATACACTTTCTAATTTTCATGTCACAGATTTTGTTTCAAATTGTCAAAACTGCCATGGCATATTCTCATTGGAAATTCAACATGTTTGAAGATGTGTTGCCACTGATTCTACAATGTAGGCCAAACTTCCCTTTGCAAGTAAAAAAAAAAAAAAAAAAGTTTTACATACCCTTATTTCTCCTAATTCTTTCACACACTCTTTTTTTTTTTTTTTTTTCAGGCAGAGTGGACAGTGAGAGAGAGAGAGACAGAGAGAAAGGTCTTCCTTTTGCCATTGGTTCACCCTCCAGTGGCCACCGCGGCCGGCGCGCTGCAGCCAGTGCACCACGCTGATCCGAAGCCAGGAGCCAGGTGCTTCCTCCTGGTCTCCCATGGGGTGCAGGGCCCAAGCACTTGGGCCATCCTCCACTGCACTCCCTGGCCACAGCAGAGAGCTGGCCTGGAAGAGGAGCAACCGGGACAGAATCCAGTGCCCCAACCAGGACTAGAACCTGGTGTGCCGGCGCCGCAAGGTGGAGGATTAGCCTAGTGAGCCACAGCACCGGCCCACACTCTTATTTTGGTGGTTTCCTTTTTTCTCCACTTTTTTTTTTTTTTAATACTGGAAACATAAAAGACAGAGACAGACAGACAGCTCCCACCCTCTGATTCACTGTCCTGATGCTTGCAGCTGCTTAGACTGGGTCAGGTTGAAGTTAAGAGACAGGAGCTCAATCTAGGTCTACCCCATGGCTGGCAGGGACCCAACTATTTTGAGCCATCATGTGGTATCTCCCGGAATGTGCATTAGCAGGAAAGTAGGGATCAGAAGCTGGGCTGGACTCCAAAATGAGATGAAGGTGTCCCAAGTGGCAACTTTTAAGACACAGCAAACACAAGCCTACACTGTTTGCTTTTATTTAAAGAAAGCCCCTCTATTTACTATCTATCCCAATTATTATTTTTTTTGCTTAGATTTTTTTTTCTGTTGAATTTCCTGGGATTCATTTACGCAGTCCTAATGACGTCTAAAGGAATAAAAGCTTTTTATTTAGAAATCTGATCTGAATTTTGGTTTAGGGGTATGGAACAAAGAACTGACCACTTTTTCTTTCTGGTGATCTGTAGCTTATCTTTCCTGAAATCTATTTTATGATTGATACTAAAAGCCATGAGCAATATTTTACACATGTAGAAAATCTTGATCAGTGTTTCATTACTCTCATTGAATAAAACTCTTAGAGGAATGACCATGTCAAAAGATTAGACTTAGTCAAGTTCAGCAAATGGAACTGCCTCAATCTCTCTTCCACTTATTAGTCTAAAATGTGACTTGAATCCCAATGACTTCCTAGATTTGTGAGCTTGTCTTATCTCTCTAGTGACTGAGGCAGAACAGTCAATATATCTATGACCTGTACTAGTGTAGCCGACAGCATTATAAAGAAAATGTAGTACCAATAAATTTTCCCTTAAATACCTCATCAAATGCCAGTTGGCCTGACTGTAAGATAATGTTAGTATTTGGCCTGGGAAACTCAATCAATGTCTTGTGCAAGCTATAAAAATGATCATTGGCTGATTTAATATATGGCTTTAGATAACCCTGTAGAATCAGAATTGTTACCATATCCAGGGTCACATATTTCTGGCCTCAAAATTTGCATTTTTTATTTCACATTTTTTATTTTTTATTTTTATAATCTAAGAAATGGGGAAATAACACATAAATCTGTAGGGAACATGCAATTGAGTGCTTTGTGGAAGAGTGAAGAGAACAGTTTTAAACACTAGTAAGTCAGTGAATAATTGGGTACAACTGGATTGATTTCTAAGATTGCTCATGTGCATGACTTTTAAAAATTTTGCACCAAAATAAATTTCCCATTCTATTTCATTTTCTAAGAGCTTTGGAAGTACCCTCATATGTATTATTTGCCTTGGCCAGTAAAGGAAAATTTGAATCCTGATCAACTCACAGTAGTTCAGAGATGAAATTCACCTTGTAAAAAATAATTAATGCTAAATCTTAATTGCTTAGGGTTTTTTTATGATTTATTTATTTGAAAGACAGAGTTACAGAAAGAGGTAGAGACAGAGAGAGAGGTCTTCCATCTGCTGGTTCACTCCCCAGATGGCCAAAATGGCCAGAGTTCTGCCAATCCGAAGCCAGGAGCCAGGAGCTTTTTCAGGGTCTCCCATGCTGGTACAGGGCCCAAGGACTTGGGACATATTCTACTACTTTTTCAGGCCACAGCAGAGAGCTGGATTGGAAGTGGAGCATCCAGGACCAGAACCGGAGCCCATATGGGGTGCCAGCACTTCAGGCCAGGGCTTTAACCTGCTGCATCACAGTGCTGGCCCATAGTGTATTTCTAGTACCTGTGTTAAGCCCCAAGTTTCCGTCCCTACACCTGCAACATATAGCACATCAAAATTAACAAGACTGTTATTCATTTGTTAATATAGAGCATAAATCATTTTATTCCAAACTGAATAGAGAATATTTTGTTCAATAGTTTTTTTTGTGTGTGTTTAATGTATAATCCACATTGTTTTCATCCATTGGCCTGGGTAATTTTGCAATTAAATATATTTATGTTATCAGTATCTCAAACATGTGAAATTTATGATATGAACCTATGAAATTTATGATATAAACATAGGAAGTTTAACCATGGATGAATATCTTCATCCATTCATCGTTAAGCATTATTACCATAAAACAAAGATGATGATCATTTTTCTCTTTACCTCCTCAATGTATCAAACTATTTAGCATTATATGTACTATTATACAAAATAATTCTTTTTCATGAAGAGTTTCAGTGCCAGTATTTGAAGAGGGAAATGCTGGCACTGATATCTACTTCTGTTTTTTTTTTTAATTTCAGATATTCTTTCATTTTTATTATTAATTTAAAATTTTCAAAACACAAATTTGGGGCTGGCACCATGGCTCACTTGGTTAATCCTCCACCTGCGGTGCCGGCATCCCATATGGGGTTGTTCTTCTTCCAGTCCAGCTCTCTGTTGTGGCCCGGGAAGGCAGTGAAAGATGGCCCAAGTGCTTGGGCTCCTGCACCTGCATGGGAGACCAGGAGGAAGCACCGGGCTCCTGGCTTTGGCTTGGCACAGTGCCGGCCATAGAGGCCATTTAGGGGGTGAACCAATGGAAGGAAGACCTTTCTCTCTGTCTCTCTCTCTCACTGTCTAAAAACCTACCTGTCAAAAAAAAAAAAATCACAAATTTGTGAGATAGTAATATAATGAGTCTTGACATACTGCTCACTCTACGTCCCCATCAATATCTCATATTAGTATATTTGCCAGATAAATGAGCCACACAGGCTTCCCCTATTTTTTGTAAATCCAAACTCTTTTTTCTCTTTTTTATCTCTCCCAATCCTCCCAGGCTCAAGTAGTCAACATTCTGTGTTCAGTTCATATTGAAATTTTTTTTTAAATTTTAGCTCCCAGGCCGGCGCCGCGGCTCACTGGGCTAATCCTCCGTCTTGTGGCGCCGGCACACCAGGTTCTAGTTCCCGTCGGGGTGCCGGATTCTGTCCCGGTTGCTCCTCTTCCAGGCCAGCTCTCTGCTGTGGCTTGGGAGTGCAGTGGAGGATGGCCCAAGTGCTTGGGCCCTGCACCCCACGGGAGACCAGGATAAGTACCTGGCTCTTGCCATCAGATAGCGCGGTGCACTGGCCACAGTGCGCCGGCCGCGGTGGCCATTGGAGGGTGAACCAACGGCAAAGGAAGACCTTTCTCTCTGTCTCTCTCTCTCATTGTCCACTCTGCCTGTCCAAAAAAAAAAAAAAAATTTAGCTCCCACATATACAAATATGCGTTATTTGTCTTTCTGTTGTGGCTTATTTCACTCAGCGTTACTGAATTTAAACTACCATGAGCTTGAATTTTGTGTATGTGAGGAAATATTTATTCATCCTTTGGACTAATATTTATTGGTCGTTTCTTTATTCTGGCATCTTTGGGCAATTCCCTTTAAGACTTTATACCAAAATACCTATAAAGAAAATGCAGATAATAATACATTAATATTGAGACTCATGGAAATGAGTTTTTTTTATATCTATCCAATCATGCATACACATCATATACAAAAGGTATACACAGGTATAGTTTTATTGCAGAGGAGAAAAGTGTGTATATCTTAATATTAATAGTGGAAGTTGACTTTGCTTGTCTGTGGTGAGGCATGATTTACAAGAAACCCCTCTGCAAGCATTGATACAAATCTCCTGCTTATGCTGTAATGTATTTAGATAGGGCTGCCACACAGAAGTAGAATTTCTCACTTTTATTTTCTTCCCTAGTGCTTCTACTGAAGGCCTATTGAATCGCCAATGCATTTCATGTAATTTTATGAAAGACCAGTGCACATATTTTGATGCCAGTTTTAGCCCCATGAATCAACATTTCTTATTACTCTGTGAAGGTAAGCTTCTGTATGATTTCAGATTTTCTTTATACATTATATTGGTCAGTACTTATTACTGTCATCAGTAAACTTAAAATATTATATAAAATAGATTTACTGAGATGCCTACATTTGTTCATGTTTTTCATTTAGAAATAGAAACTGGGGATTAGTCATTACGCATACACAGTCAGTAAGGGGTATTTGAACATGGGCACTTAAAAATCAATAAACATTTATATCATCAGAACCATGTCATAATAATAAACTAATTTACCTGGTCTTTAGGAAAAGCAATAGATTTACTGAAACAATAGCTTAATTGTTAAGGGATTTCGGAAGAATGGGAATTGAATTCTTCTTCTACCTTCTTCGATTCAGAACAATTACATTCACCCCTATGACTTCTTCTATCTTGTACCAGTATGCTGTAGACTTGCATGACTGTGCAGTCTAGGATGTAGGCATACAAATCATTTTCTCTTTAACATGACACTGTATTTCCTGCAGATAAAAAATTCATGGGCCCTCCTATAATTTGATGAGTTGAGTGCTATTACTTCAGTTGGCTTCCTTTATAAAGACACAGTGAGAAATACACCAACATTTGCTCTTTTTTGGTTTCCTTTTTCCCTTGATATCTGAAATAAAGTGATTGAAAAAAAAAAGTACTTGTTTAATGGCAGCAGGAAAAGAACCATTACAATTGTAGGTAGGGTTCCTTAGAGAAATGAAATTTCTGGGTGATTGTTATGATAAATTAACTAGTATATTTTAAATAACTGATGATTCTGGTAGTATACTTTTTAAATTAATATAAAATAACCCTTCAAATTTTATTTATCATGTGGATAAGATATTTCAAATATGCATGTTTGCTTTCTTTCTTGGCCGACTGTTATATTTTGATCTTGGATTACCAGATGACGTGTGAAAGGTCTTAAAAATGTTTATACAGAGGCAGAAGTGACAACACAGTGAATTGAGCCACCGACTGTGAGCCTACATCGCCTATTGCAGTGCCTGGTTTAAGTCCTGGCTACACTTGAGCTTCCATTCTAGATTCCTGCTAATGTGCTTGAGATGCAACAGATAATGGAAAAAGCTCTTGGGTTCCTGCTACTATATGGGTGACCTAGATGTATTTCATGGCTCCTGGCTTTGGCCTAGACTAGCACTGGAATTGTAGGCATTTGATAAGTGAACTGGCAGATGGAAAATCTTTCTCTATTACTTGGTCTTTCCCTTTCTTTATCACTCTATCTTTCAAATAAAATAAATATATTTTCTTTAAAAATGATTACACATATTTTTTTGAATCTAGGTCCAAGGGTCCCAGTGGTCAGCCTGCATAGTACGGACAACCCAGCAAGTAAGTACATGAGAACACAGGCTACTTATGGTTGACTTTGTCTTGAATGTTTTTTTTTGTTTTGTTTTGTTTTGTTTTGTTTTGTTTTGTTTTGTTTTTGACAGGCAGAGTGGACAGTGAGAGAGAGAGACAGAGAGAAAGGTCTTCCTTTGCCATTGGTTCACCCTCCAATGGCCACCGCGGCCAGCGCACTGTGGCCAGTGCACCACGCTGATCCGATGGCAGGAGCCAGGTGTTTCTCCTGGTCTCCTGTGGGGTGCAGGGCCCAAGCACTTGGGCCATCCTCCACTGCACTCCCTGGCCACAGCAGAGAGCTGGCCTGGAAGAGGGGCAACCGGGACAGAATCCGGTGCCCCGACTGGGACTAGAACCCGGTGTGCCGGCGCCGCAAGGCGGAGGATTAGCCTAGTGAGCCGCGGCGCTGGCCGTCTTAAATGTTACGTTATTTGTTTCTGGGTGCCATACTCCATAGTCATGTCTTCAAAGGAAGTCTTGTCATGAACCAAGCTGCATAAATAACATATGCTGAATCATATATATATATATGTATATATATATATATATAAAAGAGAAACAATAATGCAAGTAGTTTGATCTGTGTTACAGCTGAGACTGGGACTTAAGTGCTTGAAATGGGTATTTTCTGTTCGTAATTCAAATTAACAGTGATTGATGGAGTAAGTATATTTCAGCCTACTGGCCTGTAAGCATTTTGGCTTATTATTTCCTGGGTTTCACTTAAATTTTTCCTCCAGAGTGATACTTTTATGGACATTTGGGAAAATATGAAAGCTATATTATTTTATGTGTTTTCTACCTTTTTTGTTACAGACATCCAAAGTCTTTATTTTACCATTTATGCTTTTATTCATTAACACATCTATTCAGTTATTTTTTTAATTGATTGAGAATGCACTTTATCACGCAGTGTGACACAGGCTTGTTCTACATGGAAAAATTGTCTTCTGTTAATAACATAGTGTGTCTAAGTGCATAGATGTATGAGATACTTTAAAAACAAAGGGCCAGATAGTCTTCCTGTCTCCTTCTTTTCTTACATCTTTGCTTTACAATTTCATTTTCAAGGATTTACTTAATCACTACTCTGACACATTTGTGATTTAATATAGGCTACTATAAATTCATAATGAAGCTTATATTTTCAGACTCATTTAATCTTCAAAATATACCTGATATGGTTAATTTTAATATTCCCTTTTATAGATGAGAAAACTGAGTCATAGAGAGGTTTAATAACCTGACCAGAGTCATACTAATAAATGAAAGAGCCCTGAAATCTAATAAGAGATTCTGACTACAGAATATGACTTAGAAGCACTGCAATACAGTGACACTTTTGCAATTGAGTTTTCTCTTGACATAGAGTGGATGAGAACTCTATCTCTAATTGTCTCTGCTACTCAAATAATAAAGAAGCAGCGAAAAATCACTAGCATGTTATATTTAAATTAGTCAATTATTCATTATGGTACAGTAAGCCCTATTTAATAGTCATCTGTAGTAGAATTATAAAGGTAAAATTTTAGCATACTTTATTATCCTCTTTTTAGATTTCAAGTATCAAATGACATTGGCTTTTTAAAATGCAGAATAATTATTTTGTCTCCCATGATTAAGTTAATTTTTGGCAGTTCTTTTAGTGACCCTTGATGAAAAATAGAGAACTTAATTAGTCACACTACAAACATTTGAAATTAGGTGAGAATGTATCATTGGAAATTTGCTAGTGTTTAAATAAACTGAATTTTTTAAAAAAATATTAATATAAAGCAAACATTACAAGTATTTCATAACTATAATAACTCTAAGAGGATAATCATATTTTCCTTTCTCTTTATCTCCTTCCCTCAATCCCCCTCCTTTCTTACTTTATTTTTTTTACTCATTTATGCAAACTTATAATTTCAATCCACTCTGTAATCACAGGCTTAAAAAACCACTAGCCATATATATTTTTTTTTTGACAGGCAGAGTGGACAGTGAGAGAGAGACAGAGAGAAAGGTCTTCCTTTGCCGTTGGTTCACCCTCCAATGGCCACCGCGGTCAGTGCGCTGCAGCCGGCGCACCACGCAGATCCGAAAGCAGAAGCCAGGTGCTTCTCCCATGGGGTGCAGGGCCCAAGCACTTGGGCCATCCTCCACTGCACTCCCAGGCCACAGCAGAGAGCTGGACTGGAAGAGGGGCAACCGGGAAAGAATCCGGCTCCCCAACCGGGACTAGAACCCGGTGTGCCGGCGCCGCAAGGCAGAGGATTAGCCTAGTGAGCCGCGGCACCAGCCACCACTAGCCATATTATTCAATAAGTAAGAAATAGAAAGACCACAGTTCCATAGAAGCATAAACAAGGGCTGAAAGTAATATCAAATCTCAACATGCCCATTTTGTTCCTATATATATATATATATATATATATGTTTTGTATTCTATATTAACTATTATACATAAGGGAAAACATGATATTTGTCTTTTGGGGACTGGCTTATTTTACTAAGCATAGTGCTTTACAGTTATACCCACTTTGTTTTAAAAGACAGGATTTCATTCTTTTTTATGACTGGATAGAATACTGTATTTGTAGCACAAATACATATATATCAGTTGATGGACATATGGGTTGATTCTACATCTTAGCAATTGTGAATAGAACTGCAATAAACATGGGGGTTCAAATGACTCATATGCTGATTTCATTTCATTATGTATACTCCCAGGAATGGAATAGCTGTGTCATAGGTTAGATTTCTTTTTAGATCTCTGAGGAATCTCTGTTCTGTTTTCCCTGATGTTTGCACTGGTTTATATCCCCACCAACAATGGATTAGGATATTTTCCCTCAGATTCTTGACAGCACTTACTGTTTTTTGACTTTTGGATGATAACCAAAGCTGTGAGGAGAAACCTCACAGTGATTTTTATTTTCATTTCTCTGATGACTAGCATTTTTCATGTGTCTATAGACCATTTGTAATTTATCCTTTGAAAAATGCCTATTCATATCATTTGCCCAGTTCTTAGCTGGATTTTGTTGTTGTTGTTGTCAAGTTCTGAAGTCTTTATAGGTCCTGGATATCAGTCCTTTATCAGTTGCCTAGTTTGCAAATATTTTTCCCATTCTGTTGGTTGTGTAGAGTGTTTGCTTTGCAAGTAATCTAAGCGTCTGCTAGGACAAACTCCAAAATTTTGTAAAAGAACACAAAAAATCAAGAATTTGAATATGTAAACATCATCATGGTCCACATTCAATAAGAAATTGCAAACTATGGGAAGAAAGTAGAGAATATGACTCATTTCTGATCGGGGCCGTGGTATAGTGTGCTAAGCCTCTTCTTGCCGTACCATCATCCCATATGGCACTGGTTGAAGTCCCAGCTGCTCCACTTCCCATCTGGCTCTCTACTTTGGCCTGAGAAAGCCATTTAAGATGGCCCAGTTGTTTGGGCCCCTGCACCCATGTGGGAGACCCAGAAGAAGCTCCTGGCTCCTGGCTTCAGATTGGCTCAGCTCCCGTTGTTGCTGTCATTTGGGGAGTGAACCAGTGGAAGGAAGACCTTTCTCTATCTCCCACTCTCTGCCTGTAACTCTACCTCTCAAATACATAAATCAATTATTAAAAAACAAAAGAAAATATGATTCATAACTAGGGGAAAATCAGTGAATAGGAACAGACTCAGAAAATAAAGAGATGATGGAACCTACTGAAAATATAAGTTGTTTGTTACAAATATATTTTTAAAAAGTCAGAAAACTTAATATATTAAGAAATAAATAGAATATAATTCATAATGGAATTTTGTGAACTTCAAATAAAATATTTGAAATACAAATTTTGAAAATATAGACAGAAGGTTAGAAACTGTGAAAGAAAATAGCAGTGAACTTGAAACATCATCAACAGAATATTTCTTGACACAGAGGAAAGAATTAAAGAAATAGAGGAGCTGACACTGTAGCATAGCAAGTTAAGCCACAACCTGCAGTGGCTGCATCTCGTATGGGCGCCGGTTCAAGACCAGGCTGCTCCACTTCCGATCCACTCTGCTATGGCCTGGGGAAGCAATAGAGGATGGCTCAAGTTCTTGGGCCCCTGCACCTGCATGGGAGACCTAGAGGAAGCTCCTGGCTCCTGGCTTCTGACCGGCCCAGCTTCAGCTGTTGTGGCCATTTGGGGAGTGAACCAATGGATGGGAAGACTCTCTCTCTCTCTGTCTCTTCCCTCCCTCCCTTCTTCTGCCTCTCTGTAACTCTGCCTTTCAAATAAATAAATATACCTTTAAAAAAGAAATAGAAACAGAGTAGCCCAACATCTGCACCTGTCATATTTATAATTGTTTTTAGAAATTTGTCAGGGGTTGCATAAAATATTTAACAAAGTAATGGCCAGTAATTTTTTCAAACCGAAGGAAGTATTTTTTAAATGTTCAACAAATCTGAAGCAAGATAAAACCAAGAAAACCATGCTAATGTGCATTACAAGAAAATTATAGGAACCTCATGATAAAGGAAAACTATACTAAACCTTCAGAAATAAAAACACACATTGCCTCCACACATTATATGGATAATAACAAGGCAGACTGATCCTCAGACAAAAAAGTAAAATATTACAGAACAAAATATTTTATCTGATAAAAAAATTAAACCAAACCAACCAAATATTCTAAACCTAGAAAGAAAATATCCTTCAAAAGGCAAAATTAAGTTTCAAGAAGATAAAATTTGAGAATGTTTTCCATCAGACTTGTACTTCTGAATAACACATAGATCAAAAAAGGAAATTTTAAAACTAATTAGAGAATATTTTCAGCCAAAAGAAAATGAAAAATAGCATTTAAAGATAGGCATAATTGCAATTGGAAAGAAATTTGTAACTCTAAATTATTGCTTCATAAGAAATGGACTGTTTAATCATTGATCTCAGCTATCACCTCAAGAAATTAGAAAATGAAGAGGAACTTAAGGCTGTGAAAAGTAACAGAAGTAAAAGTAGCAGAACAGTTTTAACAACAATCATTAATGCAAAGCTTATACAAACTTTCAGAAAATGTAATGCCAGCATTCACCATATGTCAAATTCTGACACAGATATTACCAGGGCAAAAAACTGTCTACAGTGCTGCCATTGTGGTGCAGTGGGTTAACATACAGTCAGCCATTATAGGAGCCCTGGCTCCAGTCCAGGTTGTTCTCTGCTAATGCATCTGGGAAAACAGAGCACTATGGTCCAAGCACTTGGGCCCCTGCTATCCAACTGAAGTTGCAGACTCCTGGCTTCAGCCTGGCCAACCCTGGCTGTTGCAGGCATTGGATTTGTCTGTTTGAAAGGTACAGTGATAAAGAGAGAGGAAGAGACAGATACAGAGAGTGAAAGAAAGGGAGTGGAGATGGGTGTGGAGAAAGAAAGAGAAACACTAACCGATAGAATAAATAAAGGGGAGAGTGATCCAACATGGGAAGTGAGATACTCAGCAGACTCATAGAATGGCAGATGCCCTAAATAGCACTCTGGCCTCAGAATCAGCCCTAAAGGCACTCGGATCTGGCTGAAAAGCCCATGAGAGTATTTCAGGCATGGAAAGCCAAGACACTCTGGCAAAAGATCTCTGTGAGTGAGATCTCAGTGGAAAGAACAGGTCTTCAAAGAAGGAGGTACCTTTCTCTGAAGGGAGGAGAGAACCTCCACTTTGACTATGACCTTGTCTAAACAAGATAAGAGTCGGAGAACTCAAGGGGCTTCCATAGCCTTGGAAACTCATGACTGGAGCATAGGGAGATTACTGATGCCATAGACAGGAGTGTCAATTGGTAAAGTCAACAACAGGAGTCACTGTGCACTTACTCCTCATGTAGGATCTCTGTCCTTAATGTGCTGTGCATTGAGATTTAATGCTATAACGAGTACTCAAATAATATATTGCACTTTGTGTTTCTATGGGGGTGCAAACTGTTGAAATCTTTACTTAATGCATACTAAACTGATACTCTGTAAAAAAAAAAAAAAAAAAAGAAAGAAAAGAAAAGAAACTATCAACTCCCAACTTGACTCTCACTGGGATTAAACATGACAATAGGTCTGATCTGATTTCATCATCATTAAAAAAAATCATCTATTATTTTTCACTTTATGTTTCTGTGTGGGAGCAAACTGTTGAAATCCTTACTTAATGTATACTAAGCTGATCTTCTGTATATTAAGATAATCGAAAATGAATCTTGATGTG